AAATAATCTTTGTGCCTCTTTGAGATATCCTTTGAAGAAGACGTTGAGCAGCAGAAGAAACAATGTTGCGGGCTAGATGGTAGTGCATGTGTGTACATAGGAGTGTTGACGGCAGAAAGCGATATCTAGGTCTTGTTGATAGTAGCGTATTGAAGTGAGCTGTCTATTTGACGATAAGAGTAGAATTTGGGATAGAAAATCTTAGTAGGGTGCCGGCGGGAGGGTTAGGTTGGTTGCATGATGGAGACACATTGCATTTGCTAAGAGCCAGGTCTTGCTCAAATTATAGTCTATGTATGTTTCGAGTGAGAAAAGGATAGAGTAGTTCGGGTGAAATAGTAGTTATGCTCGACGATGCTGAGAAAGGCTGTTAGGGATCCATAGATTGTTGAAATGCAACATTGAGTTTGTGAGTTGAAGATAATGAGTATAAAGAGAGAGATGAAGAATTAGAGCTTCCGGTTGATGAGAATATCACAAACATACGATGAGGAGATAGGTTGTGACTAGCATTCCTGAGTTTCTAAATCAGAGACAGACCGATTGAGCTGGAATGAAGTACCATATAGAGAAGTAAGGAAAGTTGAAATAGTATGGGAACCAGGCGAGTGTGTGCCGAGAGGGTTTTTAGAAGCGAGACTGTATTGTTTAAGCAACCTCATGGACTGTTGATATTGGTGTGTCTCTGAATCCACCCGGGTTGTTTCAATGATAACTAAGTGTGCTGTAAGGAGGAGCCGTATGTTAAGGCAAGGCGTTTGCGGATCCTAATCTTGATGAGAAATGTGCAAAATGAGAAGAGAATGGTGAGGGATGGATTAATAGCACGATGGGAAATTTATCTGCGCAGAACTTGGAGAATGTCGAATGTATAATCATATCTTACGAATGACGTCTTGTGCTCAGCAAAGTCTAGTTTGTAGGATAGAATGGAGATCGCAGAATTGTTCTTGGTTTTATAGAGTCCAGGCGACTGTCCTAGAAGTAGTAGTGATGATTGGAGGAGGAACCACAGCACCAAGTGACCTTGCTGTTGAAGAGCAAGAAATTCGTTAGCCCAGGCGTGCGCCATGGCTTATGTTGGATGCTATCGTGACTAGGAGTGGGATCAGTAATTGATTGGTTTTGTGGTGTGAAGTACAGATAAATATAGTGTTTTTGGCTGAAAAGAGCCTGTCTTTGGAATCTGAGTTACCATGGGAGTGAGATGGTGGAAGGGGTAAGGAAGGGGTGTGTAGGAATGTCGCGATAATTGGTTAGTGATAGAGTGAGCTTAGTGTGATCGTGCACTGCAATAGAGAGTGAGGGAAGATGCTGAGGAGGGTGGCGAGATGAATTGTGCTGGATTCGGAAGATTGTGTTAGATAGGTGAGCAGAAAATGGTCAGAGGAGGGAAAGTAAGTGAGGATTTGAGTGAAGTGAGATGAATAGTTAGTTGGAATAGGAGAAGATGCAGCAATGGGAGAGATCTTCTTTGATGCAACGTGTTAGAAATTGATAGCGATCAGGGTGGGGATTGAGACATTTACATCCTTTATAAAGACGTTCGGCATATCCAAGAACACAGACATGAGGAGTTGTGAGAGACAGTTTGTGCCGCTTTAGAGGAAGAAGAGATGGAGTAGCAACGCACCCAATACGTTCGCAGATGTAGAGTAGTCGGGTGGACGGTTGTGAAGAAGTTGATATGGAGATGTATGCATGGTGTGTAGAAGAAGGCCATAATATGATGAGGTAAACCGCGTGTGAGGAAGAAGATGACGAAGCCAGAAGTGAAAGCGGAATTGTGTGCGGTGAAGCAATGTGCGAGTAGTCTCGATAATATAGTCCGTGTTTCTTTGCTATCTAATCCGCTTTTGTTCGGGTGTGTATGGGACAGGCTTAATTTGATGCTGAATTCCATGATGCCGAAGGTGTGTTGAAACTTAAATTAATGAATTTGGTTCCACCGTCGCTGGCGAATAATTTTTATAAAGGAGAGCATATTGTTTTTCAATAGCAAGCATGAAACGCTGAAAAAATAGAAAACACGTTCAATTAAATCTAAGTGGATACAAGCGCAGTAAATCTGCGTAAAGTCATCTATGAAGCAAGTAATTCCTAAAACCTTGTTGGATGTGATTGGGAAGGACGCCATAATGTCCCATAATGAATGAGTTCAAGCGTTTATAGTTATGTAGAACTAGAAAGTAGGAAAATGTGTAAATTTGTGGAACCTTTTGTGGCCGCTTACACATGGAGCAAGAAACTACACGTTGTGAGGTCTATGCCAAAAGATTGCGGTTATGTTTGAGATGGTGGGATAATAATTTGTTGATAGCGGTATGGTCCAAGTCTTCATATGGCAGCGGGTGGGAGGGACATCGTGGTAGCAGAGAGATGCTATGTGGTTGTCCTGTATTGGACTAAGCCCGGTAAATGACCTCTGTACGGCCTGACAGGAGCGTGCGATTGTTTCTGCTTGTCCTTTATACAAAAACCAAGTGCGTCAAATACAATGACAGATGTTGTTGTCCCTTGGTTAAAGAAGAACACAGATAAAAGACTAATGCTAAATTGAGTATGAGAAGCTTAAATTAAACAAGCAGAAAGGTTAACGAGTAGCTGTGGGCAACAGTCCTTTCCTGCGAGTGACGATGAATATAGTATCGCCTCGTGCTCCATCGATCATTTGGTCTAGCGCATTGTATTCGGATGGCTGTTGAATGTGGTCGGAGGTTGTTGTCGTGAAATGATGATGAAGCTCCTGTGTCGCAGATACCAACTCGCTAGGAACTCTGAGTGTTGGATTGCCGTGAGAGCTGTGGATGGCGTCATGTAATTTGGCGTTTGAAACAATTGCCATACAGTTGTGGCGTATGCCTTCTTTTTCACCAGATTTTGCAGAAGACTTGGGGAGCAGTGGATTGTGTTCTGATTGACGTGTCAATTTCGGGTCACGAGTCGGGTTCGGGTCAAACCCAGAATTGACTCGGGCTCAATCTGGTCGACCCTAACCCGACTCAGGTAGGTAAACAGGTCGGAAACTCGGACCCGAATCCGATCCGTCGGGTTGCCGGGTTGACCCGACCTGACACGGGAACGCATGCAGGCGGAACGCGGGCACGCAAACGTGGGTGCTAGGGCATGCAGATTCAAGCGCGCAGGCGGGCGTGATGACGGCACGCGGGCGCGTAGGTTGTACACTGGCGCCGGACGCTGGCGCTTGGGCATGGACACGGGCGAGTAGCACGGGTGCGAGTGGGCAGCGCGGGTACGACTCACGAGCGGCAGTTGCACAACGTGGGCAGCCTCGGGCAAGGCGCGGGCAGGCTTGGTGGCAGCACGAGCACCCGTGGGTAGCCGCGAGCAGGCACGGGCAGCTACGCGGGCAGTCGGGGCAAGTGCGGGTAGCGCAAGCAGCTCACTCTAAAAGGGTTTCCGGGTTGACCCGGCAATCCGTCGGGTCAACCCGAGCCCTACCCATTTTTCAAACGAGTCGAATCCAGGAACCTGGCTTAACCCGTTTTCAAACGGGTCGGGTCCAACCCGAAATTTTTGAGTCAGATTTTCATGTTGTGTCAAATATTGACACCCCTAATTACATATATATCTCATCATTATAAAATATCGGTGTATCATAGTCTTAAAGATGATGACACAATTGAAAATTATAAGTACCAACATAATTTTATAAAAGGTTGAAGAGAGAAATAAAGATAAATAAAGGAGCATATGCTTCACATGGTTAAACCTTCTTTAATATTCATGTTAAAAAACACTTTGTGAAAATAACTTAGCTAAAACCAATTGCAATGAAAAATCAACTATAAATGTAGAAACTATCGGTCCACATTATATAATGAACCCAAGGTTGAAAGTCAAAAACTAAATGAAATCCCTTGGAAAGCATCTTGTTACTGGCATCCATTCAAGCCTAAATTCAATGCATGTTTCCCTCCGGCTTCCCCCACAACTTTATTGTCATACTGAAATTTTTACAAATTGGACCATTCTTTTTCTTGTTTTCAGATTTAGCCACATCTCATCTCCATTGAAGTAAATAACCTAGTAAGGAAATTCCATGCACTCAATTACATTTCTAGTATATGGATTAGCGTGGTCAACAAATAAGCGGACGTACCAACTCGATCTGAATCCGACTGAAAAAATTTGGATTCGGGTCGATCTATTTAATAAACGGGTTGAGTTCGGATTCAGAATTCTGACTTGTTTATTAAACGGATCGGATTGGGTTCAGATTGACCTGCCACCCATATTTTGATTCAAAATGATCCGTTTAAATTAATTTTTTCTTAATTTTTTAATATGATGATATGGTTGTCTTATTTTTAATAAATTCATCTAAAATATATTGTTAAAAATATATATAATTTTTTTAATCAAAATGGGTTATTAGGTCGGCTTGGGTCATTTAGATTGCTAGCGGGTCAAGTTCGAGTTGATCGAATCGGTTCGGGGCAATTTTGGGTTGGACCCAACCCCAACTCATTGACCATTTGAATACCCTAATATGGATGCCAATTGGGTTGATTAAACTTTGCCCGTAAGTACATACAATTAATTTTTTTTTTTTGTAAATTTACAAATTTTTAAATTACATTTTTGTAAATATATGTGATACTGTAACTCTCAACTTTGAGAAATAAAAATAAAAAGAAAATATTTATAACAATTTTCGTAATAAAGTAAAATGTTTAAAGCTATTTTAATAAATGTATAAAATATAATACTGAGACTCATAGTCTCATATCATGAAAATATTATAAAAATAAAATTATTAATATTTTTTAAACATTTAATTAATGTCAGATGTGGCCATAGAACAACGCTCTACATGAGTTTGTCTCTTACCCTATTTTTTTCCGTTGCCGTGGCCCTTCATGCTGGAAGATCTACTTGAGGTAGAAGAAAATGAACAAAAAAATTGGGTTTTGGAGATGCGGCAAGAATCATTGGTAACAGTAGCATTCTGTAATTCAGTAAAAAATTGAGCTTTTAGAGAGAGAGAGAGAGAGAGAGAGAGAGAGTGGTCGTTGGAGGAGGGGCAACCGGGCAAGCGTCATTTGTACTCTCTTTCAACACCCCATTCTATCTCTACTGCTACTAACTACTACCATGCCCCCACCACACATAGCTTCTTCACTCTGCAAACACCGGTGCTCCGGAACTTTTTTAGTGGTTAAAACCACCGGAGGTAGAGGACGAGGGCATTTTTGGAAAGAGTGGCTGTCAAGTTTGCTGCTTCTCCATCCCATCTCCTTCCACTCCTCTCTCTCTCTCTATCTCTCTCTTCTTTCATACTGAACTTCGCCTCGACCTTCAACTGCTGCATAGCAGTGAAGCCCAAGGAAAATGATGGCGGTTGTTGCATTCCTGTAGCACTGGCCGTTGCTTTCGCTTCAGTTAACTCCACTTCTTCCGCCTCTCCTTATTCCCATTGAGACATCCCAACCACTACGCACTTTCTTCTCACCCTTCTTGTCTGATCTCCATCTTCTTGGAATTCTTCTTCTTGGTTTTGTTGTGAGATTTGATGGTTATGCGCCGGTGGAGTTTGGTGATTTGTTGACAAAATGACGATCGAGAACGGGGAGGATTGCTGTGTTAAGGTGGCGGTCCACATCCGGCCGCTCATCGGCGATGAGAGAATTCAGGGATGCAAGGATTGTGTTACAGTCGTCCCCGGCCAGCCGCAGGTGCGCGATTTTGGCTTTTCTTTTGGATTTCATTGCCTTCGCTTTGCTGATTAATTGGAGATCTGACGAGGGCAAGTTGATTGCTTGATGCCCTGTGGATTTGATCTCTCCTAGAACTCGAGTTCACATAAAAAAATGGGGGGTGGTTGGTTACTGTTCTTAGCATCTTTCGGGATTTATGGAATGTCGGGATTATGCTGGGAATTCGTTTTCGGTTTATTAGCTCTGATTGCTCGTTAAGGGTCGAATTGGTGGTTCTTTGTTTTCAAAATTTTGTTTCCTACTTCTTAGTGGATGTTAAAATAAAAAATAAATATTTTGCTTTTCTTGAATTTTTCCCCCCTTCAAATCACTCCTGCAATTCACATAAGAATATGGCATTGTCAATTCTCTCCAAGTTTTTCAAAGGCAGTTTTCTTGGCCTTCCCAACTAAATATCCTCCCTTCTCAACATTTAACGAAATCTACATGGTCCTGAGATGGCTGTTTCTGATTTCTACTTCTTTGATGTGATATCTGAAGGTTTTTGTTCTGTCAATAATTTTCCTGTTCAAAGATTGTCAAACAGACGATTATACTATATTTTCTCAATATTTGGTTCACGCTGCTTGTATAAACTTTCTTCATCTGCTCCAAAAAGTATTAAGCTTTGTTTATAATAGAATTTCTTCTTCCAGTTATTGCATGCTTGCTAATAACCTCTTAGATACTGATCTAGAAAAATGTGATTCCTGCAATTCAACCTTGATCTTCATCTTCCCTCTTGCAAGAAAATTATGATGTCTTAAAGTTTTTTTTGGGTAATTTTTTTTGTTGGTGTTTAAAACTACCGTTTTTTGCCAACAATCTATAATCAAATATAGACATTCAATTTTCTTCTAAATTAGTCATTCTTGATAGTCTATATTGCTTTCTTTTCTGTACAGGTACAAATTGGCTCTCATTCTTTTACTTTTGATCACGTATATGGTAGTACTGGTTCTCCACCTGCTGCCATGTTCGAAGAACTTGCTGCACCACTCGTTGACGGCCTATTCCAAGGATACAATGGTACAGTCCTCGCTTATGGTCAGGTTAAGTTCTCTTCATCTCATGTCCATCATAATTCTCTTAAAAATTCTTCAAAAAGCATTGTACACATATATTTAACTGAAGCCTTGAAAAAGGGAAAAAATCTGAAATTTTTAAGTGCATACAGACTGGTTCTGGGAAAACATACACCATGGGAACTGGAGGCAAAGATGGATGTCAAACTGGCATAATTCCCCAAGTTATGAATGCATTATTTCACAAGGTTGAGAACCTCAAGCATCACGCTGAATTACAGTTGCGAGTCTCATTCATTGAGGTGAGCGTGACCTTTTTTCTTTTGTTTTACTGTTTATTCTTTGTTTTTCTTCTTCCTGAGGCATGATAGGTTTGCAGCAGGACTCGTTTCTTGTGTTCAGGTGCACATGTTAACATTAATTGCTATATTATAATATTATTTCCCTTTTCCATAACATTTTACTTCTTTGAGCATGAAGTTATATTTGGACTATTTGTTAAGAATAGAAAAAACATTTATGCTACTATTACTTCAGGTCAAAAGTTTATCATTTTGTCAATTTCTTGAGGACTAAGATGCTTCCATATTAAAGATGGTAAGGCGTACTTATGGTAACTTGTCCAGAACTGTCACCGGGCTCATAATATTATGATATAATTTTGCCATTTTTTAGGTCATATAGTCCCTGAATTTGCTATAAGTATTTTAATTTTGACCCAAACATGGAAGTTTAGTTCTCAGAATGAGTTAGGTAGAGTGATTTTGCTAACTTTACTAGTGGGGATAGATATGACTTTAATTGCTTGAGTCATGCTAACATAACCTCTGAGGCGATTTTCCTGCTGAATCTTTATTTTTTTTACGGATCATACTGTTGCAGAACCACACTTCATCATTATGTAACATTTTGCTAATGTATTGATATCATACTTCTTAAAAATGGTTCTTTCTCTTGGTGATAGGAAATTAAAATGCACCAATATGGTTGAGGCAAATATATGTTTAATCTTTTGATTATTGAAAATTTGGTATTTTTTTAGTATGTTGAAGGATAAATCTTCTTGGAAAATGTATTTTGTATAATTGTTATTTTGCATTCCGTTTTTTGAAAAAACCAAAACAAAAATGTCTCTTTTTTTCTACTTAGCTGCTAGCAGTATTTTTTATGTCAATGAACTAATATGATTCCTACATGGCTTAATAATATTAGAAGGACATTGTAATTCATAAACGGAGTTGATTATTAAAATGCCATAGCCATCTATAAAATATTTTGCAACTAATGCTCACTTCAGTTACAGAATTTCATATTCATCTCAATCCTGTTTCCTTATCGACTGATTTTAGACTAATTTTAATGGTTAATTCAATAATAACTTACCATGTTATGGGACAAACTTGAAATCTTCTGATGTAAAGGTTTTGAAAGAAGAAGTGAAGGATTTGTTGGATCCTGGATCTGCTGGAAAAGTTGAGCCTGGAAATGTTCATGTAGCTAAGATTGCCATACCCGGGAAACCCCCGATACAAATCCGAGAGGGTTCAAATGGAGTCATAACACTTGCTGGGTCTACTGAAGTTGATGTTCGAACCAAAAAAGAAATGGTTGCCTGTCTTGAACAGGGCTCTTTTAATCGTGCAACTGGAAGTACGAACATGAATAACCAATCAAGGTAACTACATGTATCTTACCCCTTTTTTACTTTTGAATTTTCTTATGACCACGGGATTTAACGTCCAAATACATTGTTGTTGTCTATCATATTTCTCAGCTAACAGGTCTCCCCTTTCAATCCCTATTTTTCTTTTGCTATGTAATAATTGACCTTGCCCTTTTTATGAATAGTAATCTACCATTCTCGTTTGTACTTCGCTTTGCTTTGTTATATAGTTCTCCCTATGCGATAATCCACATCTTTTCTCTCTTTATTGCTTGAAGTTTCTTTTTAAACTAGCTTTCCATGTAACTCTCTAATTTATTTCAGGATTTGCCAGTACCTGAAATATTACTCTACCAAGTTTAAAGTTGAATTTCTTGACACTGCTAGTATTTCCAATTGCAAAAGAAATTTGAACAGGCTAATTCCCCGAAGTAAACGCATTTAAATAGAAAATACTTGCATTTCACTCCTATGCAAATTTCGCCTCTAATTTTAACCGGTTTACAATTATTTACTCGATCAGTTACATCACTACTTTAGTAGATTACTAAGCCGAACTGCTCAGCTTGAATTTCGTATCATTTCTCTTAATGTTCTTGATGTTTCTTGCTTTCCATCTGTAATAGTCGTTCCCATGCCATCTTCACAATCACATTGGAGCAGATGCATAAACAAAATCAAATGTTCTCTGTTGATGGTATGCCAGTTGAGGATATGACTGAGGATTGTCTATTTGCAAAGCTTCATCTTGTTGATCTTGCTGGATCGGAACGGGCCAAGCGAACAGGTTCAGATGGTCTGCGATTTAAGGAAGGTAACTGGTATTTCTAATATTTATTGACAGAAAAAGTGGTTCGGAAAGTTCATAATATTGATTCCTTGTATTTTCTTTTTAAGGTGTTCATATTAACAGAGGGCTTCTTGCCCTAGGCAATGTAATAAGTGCTCTTGGAGATGAGAAAAAGAGGAAAGATGGTGCTCATGTTCCTTACCGGGACAGCAAACTTACTAGGCTTTTGCAGGTATTACTCTCTATCTTCATGCATGTTTCTGTGTCAAATTATCTAGCCTAAACCTTTCAAATGATGATATAAGCAGCCAAGTAGTCCATTGTTTACATGCTATTTATTTTAAGCACAAAGTAAGGTTTTAAAACTAACTGAAGTTTTAGTTTGGGCTCCATTATGGAGTTTCGTTTTACAGTTCTAAGATATTTTTGACGATGTTGCTCTTCACTTAAACTTTGGTGTATGTTTTTTTATAGTTGACAAATTCTAGTTGGTGATATGTTTGCTGAAATAAATGAAAATTAGATAATGTAGAAAAATTTTAGAAGATAAATGGCTGAGAGTTATTAGAACTGAATTTGAGTATATGATATGTAACTTTCTTGGATGCAATATCAACTTTTATCAGTCAATACTTTAGGAAACAAACTGATGCTTAGGTGTGCTATGTTAAAATATCATGTGTTAATTATATAAAAGAATTGAGATATGGATTGAAATACAAATTTTAGAGTTAAGGTTTGGTGTTTGAAATTGGCGAGTGATCTATGCGTACCGTGCAATGAGAGAAAAAGTATTGGGTGCTGAAAAAGTCACGGACAGCTAAGTTGAGCATTGTGAAAAATGAGAATTGTGATGGATTCATGACAAAATAAAGAATGATAAATGGAGGAAGGATTATATCGAAGGAACTGTTGGAATAATATTTAATGAAGATAAGGTAGTACAAAATAGATTTATATGGTTTGCACATGTATTTTGAAGGATATAAATATGCCCATTAGACAATTAAATGAAATTAGTGTGAAATTGCCATAAAAAATAGGTATATTTAAGGCTAAATGGTTGATGTTGTTCAAAACAATTGCAAATAATAGGCTTAAAGTCTCGTGCGGTAAGAATGACCGTAAAATAAGAAATTGAGGATTTATAGAAGGCCAACCTAAGTACTTGGTATAAATGATGATGATAATGCTGGTGATGAGCTTTTGCCTATAATTTCAAATTGTTAAGTCAAAATTTATAGAAAATTGCTGGCCTTAAAGTAGTCTTTATTGCCCAGAAGTGTTTGAAATAGTTGAAATCTTATAATTTCTTAGTATTCTTAACTAGAGCCCCTGAAACCTTTTTAACACTACCCAAATAAGTGGTTCCTATGAAAATTTGAACTATGATAAATTTGAGCAAAGGTACAAAGCATAATTTTTTTTTTCAATATTACAATCATTTTCTTATGTTTATGAAATAAAAAGAAGTTGCTTATCAACATGAATTAAGGACAAAGTGCATTTGAAAATTTCACAGTTTTTTCATTGAATTAAACTGCTGCTGTGAAATAAAAATGGTAAAATATGCCATGCATTCGATGCTTTTTAAGATCTGCAAGAGTGCCGGGAATGGACATCGATGCATCATTTGTTGGCTCATTCAGTGACAATTCCTGATGCAAGTTGAATTATTTTTTGAAGAAGTGTTCTAGCTTTGTTATTGAACAGTTCAATTATGATACAGAGGATTAGCTAGATGATGGAGAAACGAAAGATTTTTTTTATCATTCATCTCTTGAGGAATGCTTGTCTAAATAATGGTGTATAGGGCTATGACTACAGTTCTCGTATTGAAATTTTCTATCCTTTCTGAACTTTATCGGGCAAATAAAAAAATAGTACAATAGTTCTTTTTCTATTTCTAGTTCATTTATCCAATTATTGGATTCAGTTATGAATAAAATATGCTTTAATGAGCTTAAAATCTATGTTTGATGTGGAGCACCTAACATGAAGTTTTTAGAACAATGAAAATCTTTCCATTGAATTGCCATGTTGTAAATTAGTTTCATAGGCTGGTAAGACTGGTGGTTGTTTTCTCAAAAATAGCTCTATCAACTAATGTAATTTTATATTAAACATTCATTAGAACTAGTATGATAATTCGTAAGTTTGGCTTCTTTTAATTCATGCACAGATGTTGCTGGTATAAGTAGATTTCCTCCACCTTTAGATTTTAAAAATAACCGTTTAATGTTGCGGCAATTTGGTGCAACAATGATTGGCAGCCATATGACCAGAAGTATTCAATTAACCAAATACACATGCACTTATGCGTTAACTTTGGTGGAGGATAGAATGCTCGATTTTAATGCATGATTGATACTTTTTATAACTGAGCTCTTTGTAGAGAATGGCTTAATTCTGAACAAAAATGTAATTTCAAGTTTGGTTTTTTGGTTGAATGCCCTCTAATTTTTTTATTTTTTTTTGGTAATTTAAACATGACAGGATTCACTTGGTGGAAACAGCAGGACTGTTATGATAGGTAACTAATCCCTTATCTGACCCTGAATCAGTGACTAATTCTGAAATAGATATTGCATATTGTTGTACCTTCAGATTAAACACCTTTTCCTGCATCCAAATATTTTGTGTGGGGAGGCATAAGATCATGATATTTTGTACCCAATGCGGATTATAAAGATGGTTTCACTATATTTTAATGCCTTGTTTGGTTGGAAAGTAGCCCTATAAGAAGGGCTTATCTACAGCCAAAATCATAGACGCCTAACTAGAACATATTTAGCAATAATATATTATATTACATGTAATGCTATATATACACGCAATCTATTATCAACCAAACAGACATGACTTCTTAAAGCAAAACCAAGGACTTCCAGGTCTTTTTTTTTTTTTTTCATATTCTTTCATTCTTCCAACTGGTGCCTATAGAAATTGAACGAAAGTTTTATAGAAGATAAAGATCATCTACATATTATAAAACAATCACTTGCACACAACCTAAATACTTTTGAAATAGGGTAAAAGGTGCAATCGTTGTTACTCTCATAGTGCTGAACTCTCTCTTCTATCAGCTTGCATCAGTCCAGCAGATATCAATGCAGAGGAAACTCTTAACACCCTTAAATATGCTAACCGTGCTCGAAACATTCAAAACAAGCCCATCGTAAGTTTTATATATTTGTTAACTTTGATGTTTTCTTGTGCAGAGTGGAGTTATTATTCTCTTTAGCAAGGCAGAACTTTTATTAATTTACCTTTTTTGCTTCCAGGTTAATAGGAATTTAATGTCAAATGAGATGCAGAGGATGCGGCAACAGCTGGAGTACTTGCAAGCGGAACTGCTATGTGCTCGTGGTGGAGGGGCATCTACTGATCAAGTTCAGGTTATTATAGAGCTTTCTGCTTTATTTTTTTTTTTCTTGTGATATTATTTGGCTATATAATACTAATAATTTCATTCTATTAGGCTCTCAAGGAGAGAATTTCTTGGCTTGAAACAACAAATGAAGATCTTGGTCGGGAACTTGATGAGTATCGCAGCAGGTTCTCTCTACCAGAGAACTTTACAGCTGAGAGCCAAGTATGTTATTGGATTTTCTTTAATTTCCTTCTGTATTTTCTTATCTTTTCAAACCAAAATTTAATAAATATTTTATTGTTTCAAGAAATTATCTTGGTTTATCAGAATTGCACCCTATCATATGAAACAAAAGTAATGGAGGTTGCTTTTTTCCATTATTTCAGAAATATAGAACCGATTTGGGCAAAATGGAAGGGCTGAAGAGAAGCCTGAGTACAGAGTCATTTGACTACCAAATGGCTGAAAGCCTGAGAGGCATGTTTCTTTAACCTTTAATATAATTTCTGTAGACTTTATTGTAATTTATTTTTTCTGTAAGCAGCTGGTGACCTGGTGAAGTTATTCATGCCTCTATGCTTTCATTATTTTGTTCTAAAACTTAAATGTTTACCTTAGAAATACTCAGCCATGATTAATTCTAATCCGCAGGTGATAACTATAAGGAGGTTGATGAAGAGGCGGCCAAAGAATGGGAACATACGATGTTGCAGGATACAATGGGCAGGGAATTGAATGAGCTAAATAAACGTCTGGAGCAGAAAGAGGTAATTCTACAATTCTGAAGGCACTTTGAGCATTTTTGCTTTGTCTGTTCTTGTTTGTGTGTGTTGTGGTAACTCGAGCACCAAATCATTTAATGACTTTGGTTTAGTGCATGATGAAAAGAAATGCATTCCAACCTACTTCGCATGTATTTTTTTGGATGTAGGAAATCATAGGAGATCACTAGTTACGATTGCTGTTAGTTTCTAGTGATGGCTTTTTTTTTTTTTTTTGGAAAAAGAAAAAAAAAACTATTACTTTAAAACTAATATTTCTCTCCAAAATCTTAATTTTTAATCTAACGAATCTTTAGCTATATCCAAAAGGAAGTTATACAATGGCCTACCTATGGAGGATACTATAGTCTCTTTGGTTTCGCAGAATGAGTTTGAAAAAGCTCTTTCACTTCATAAACTGATTATTTGTTTAAATTTGTATGACCTTCTGAGTTTGATCATGTATGTTACCCATACTATCTTTTAATTAAGAAAAATTAAGCATATTTCCATTTTTATATTTCATTTTGTCATAAATTCTTACACTCTTTTGGCTTATTCACTAGAGTAACTCCAGTCTTGTGCGTCATTATCATGTTCAATTAGTTGACGAGTTACATGATTCAAAATTAATTACATGCGGTATCTAACATTTGCATCTATGTTTGCAGTCTGAGATGAAAATGTTTGGAGGTTTTGAAACAATTGCTCTCAAACAGCATTTTGGAAAGAAGCTTATGGAACTTGAGGATGAAAAAAGATCTGTTCAGGTTTATTGAAATATGGTCTTATTTGGTCTTGGAATCTATGTAATCTCTTCTATTTTTGAAACTAAGCTCACACTTATTAAAATATTTCAGCTAGAAAGGGATCGGCTATTGGCTGAAGTTGAAAGCCTCGCTGATGGACATTTACACAAGTTTCCAGATATACACTCGCAGAAGTTGAAGTCACTTGAAGCTCAGGTAAAATAAATAGAGATTTGGGTGTTTTTGTTTATGATGATATCTTCTAACGTCTAGTGGCTGCAATTTGTTTTTTTTTTTTTAACCTGTTTTTCTTTCAGATAATGGATCTTAAGAAAACACAAGAGAATCAGGTCCAGCTTGTAAAACAAAAGCAAAGAAGTGAAGAAGCAGCAAAAAAACTGCAAGAAGAAATTCAATCAATTAAGGCTCAAAAGGTTGTGCTTCGCATCATTTTTTGCATTTGCATCATTTCAATCAGCATCATCAATCTTTTTGTATAAATTTTACTTGAATATTTCACACTTTTTTTCATTCCATCGAACTTCTGTATTCTGCCAGTACTAATTGTTTAAAAAATTACAGGTGCAATTGCAACATAGAATAAAGCAAGAGGCTGAACAATTTCGGCAGTGGAAGGCTTCTCGAGAAAAGGAACTCCTGCAGGTATCACCCGAGTTAGAAAATACAGAAATTCAACTGATACCATGGATAATAGATTTTAATTATATGATTTTAATCAATAATAGCATTGAAATAATAAACTCTAATTTTATAGATTTGCCTGCTACAAACAGATGAATGTTATTTGTCTCTTTTTGTTTCTGTTTTTGAAAACATCTTTGGGCAGTGTTACAAAGAAATTTTTGGTAAATGTTCTGAATTTTTTTTGAAATTTTGGAGCATAGCTGCTGTTATCCCTGTGGAACACATTGCTGTGCAACCAAATCTTGTTAAAACGTGCCTTAGAAAAAGACAAGCAGGGGAAGTTTTAAACATGCATTGATACGTTCATGTATTATGTGAATTTTGTTTTGGAATTTAGAATGAAAAATCTGAATTATTAAATAAAAATTCAATTTATTAAGCTTATTTTAATTATAATTCATTTTTTTCATGTCAAAATGAGATATATTAAAGGAGTATTTCTCAATAACATGAGTATAATACTTAAAATACATGCATTATACTTTTGAAGGTTAATTTTTCCACATTTTCCTTTATAAAACAATAAGAAAACCTAAATTTTTTGAAACATTCGTATGTACTAGTACATACATCACATAGGTATAATAAACAAATTTACTAAGTTGCTTTTTGACGAAATATTATTGCTAATATTTTGTATCTCTATAACCGAATGTACATTTTTTTTCCTTTGTAATTAATGCTTTCTGATGCTAAAATCATGTTAGTGTAGCTTAAACATTGTAATAGTCACCCAAATGGATAAATTATCTGTCATGGTAGTAACAAAATGGACTTAGTTGCACCACTTAATTTTATTTTGTTCCATTGATGCATAATAGATTTTTATGCTAGTAGGGATACTTTAGAAATGATCACTAACTATCGTCAGAATATTAAATTTAGGTTTCGTTTGGGACAACTTTTTTACTGCTTCTTAAAGTAACTTCTTAGTACAAAAAAATTATTTTATTTACTAAAAATCTACTTTAACAAAGAAAGTCGTCCCAAATTAAGCCTTAATCTCAGTTCTTTAGAAGAAATTAGCCCTAAAATACTTTATTGTGGAAGGGATCCTCTTTACATGCCATTACAATTTTATATGATTGTTGACCTGTACGCCATACAAAAAATTTTTTTTTTTCAGAGCAAGTACCTGTCCGTTGAACCTCGCATGTCGTCTCCATCCCTCACACGTTCGGCGACATTTCTCCCACGACGCTCTGCTACGAGACGACGCCTCATCTCGTTGTTAAATAACACGATCGCCTCTCTGGACGCCGCTTGTTTTGGCGCATTCCTTCGCTCGTTCGTCATTGTACGATTCCGCTTCCTCAACGACTTTCCTTTCCGACGGGATCAGAAGTTACGACATATTGATCGGAAGCAGCAAATGGAGCTCGCTCGCAGTGAGGGTAACTTTCTCCCTTCCGATCGCTTCTCCGCCCCCTTCGTGGCCGTTCGATTACGCTCCCTTCTACGATTTTACCTTCTGGTTGGATCGGAAGTTACAACCTTTTGATCAGAACCAACGACGAAGCTCTCTCGCAGTCTTCCGCCCATCGTTGTTGTGCGATTTTCTCCCTTTCGTGTGCTCCCCAACCTCCTTTGTGGCCGTTCGATTACGCCCCTTGACGACTTTCCCTTCTTGTCTGGTCGGAAGTCGCAACATTTTGATCGGGTGTCAGAGCAGGAGCTCGCTAACCGTGAGGGTAACTTTCTACCTTATGCATGCTTCTTCGGCTAAATCCTGTAATCTCGCTGAGTATTAAAGAGAGAAGCAGAGGATTTCTCTCGCCGTGAGATTTACAGTGCAACCAAATCCCCTCTAGAAGGATTTTTGCATAAATCCTGTTCTAATCCAACATTAATCCTCTAAATTTTTATTAATTTTAGTTAATTATTATTAATTATTAATTAATTATAATTAATATTAATTATAACTAATTTTGTTTTGAGTATAATTACAACAACAACAACAATATCAAGCCTTTATCCTCATAATTAGTTATAGTTAATTAAAATTGATTATAATTTATTATTAATTTTAATTAATTAATTAATTAATTATAATTAATTGTAATTAGTTAAAATTAATTGCAATTAATTATTTTTAATTATAATTAATTACTATTGATCATAATTAATAATAATTAACTAAAGTTTTAAAAAGAAAAATGTCTACTCCTCCCTGGCCTCGATGCACAAGCCGACACCGCCGACAGTTGCCGATCACTCTTACGCAGGTATAATGTTCCAAATCTTATCCGCGACGCGCTTGATGCGCTGATGGACCTCCTATACGCGCTCTTGTAGCACGGTGAGGGGGAATCCAGTGCAACAGGTGCGATGAGGCGGGTAAGCCCTATATACGCTCTTGTAGCATGGTGGGGACAGTCCTCGATCTCGGCATTAGTGCCACCGAGACTACTTCACAAGGTATAATGTTCTAAAATCACATTCTCGGCGTCTACGGCGGACTGGAGAACCACATATATGCGCTTTTGTAGCACGGTAGAAGGGAGCCCAGTGTGACGCATACGGCGAGGTGGGTAAGCCCTATACACGCTCTTGTGGCATGGTGGGGGAAGCCACTAGTGTTCTCGTACGGGTACTGTTGAAGGCCCCATACACGCTCTTGTAGCATGGTGGGATGAAAAGATGTATGGCCGCGGTGTTTAAGGACACCTATCATATATGCTCGAGTAGCGTGACGGGAAGGCCCAACTCCCCTACATTTCCCCCAAACGGGGGATATGTCGGGATGTTGCCGACATTTTTACTGAAGTGCTTAAAGCTTGAACAATAAGAAGACTTCACTTGAGCAATAATATATAGGACCCGTACTTGAATATAAATACATAGAATTTGAACCAAATATGCATAGGACTTGTACGAACAACAGGGAACATGACTCAAACTAAATTATAAGCAGGGAACTCGTGGCGAACATGATCTCGATGCATATAAGCAATGAACAATAGTCAATTCATAGCATCTGAACATCCACCAATCATCAATACTCAAATACATAAGCATACAATGAATGATGTTGGTTTATACAATGATAGAAGTAGTGAACTCTTACAACAATCTAAATGAGATCAGATGCATCATACATGCAAGAACAACAAATAGTTGCAGAATGCATAGGTGTCCCCTATATGCATTATTGAAAACCTCAATACAAACAATAATTTGCTTGTAGATTGATATGATAATGCTGGAAATCGATATTGAAAGATCCGTCCTTGCAAACAAGTACATCAAACCACCTAAGATTGGTAAAAGGTGGATATGATGCAGGAATAATGGCTTTTCTATGAATACTTCCAAGAGGTTGTAGTGAATACAATTGGTCCCTATAAATAAACACGAGCCACTTGTAGATAACAACAGTGGGTATATCGTAAGTACAACGAACCCTTGTGGACACAAGTATAGATATCACCTACAACGACGGTGATTGAGAATTGCAAGTATGTCGGATATGAAGATAACTCGATGAATAGAGAAGGACACCTCCTGGCAAAATAAAAGAGACGTTTGAACAAATTCAAACTAAACTTCCTGGTGTTCCAAAATAGTTTTGGCATCCATGAATACTGGAAATAACAAGTACGCCCAGATACCTCTATTTTATTTTGAATGACAATTATTTGGTTATGGATGTTACATCCTGTAGAAGTCCGATACACTGTAGAGCTTGAAAAGCGTTATTTTCGAGGCATCGATCATGAATTCCAAGAAGGACCTCTTGGTGAACAAGAAAAGGGGAGTCAACATCAAGATGATGAGGTGCCTCATAATATCCAGATAATAATGCCACCGGATCTGCAATACTCGTACAAGCAAATAGAAGGCATTTACAAGCTTTTAAATAGCATACTGCATTCAAATGGTAGTTGCCCGTACAACTGAGCACCGTCAAATATCCCTGAAAATGCACCTACACATGCACCGTAGTTTGTATACATAGGTACACAAAGGGTAAGTGTAATCATAAACCCGCATGGGCCTCGACGAGCGTGTTTTTGTAACAAATGTGACATTTAGGGATGCTGCGCGGGTTAATAAATAAACCCAAGTTCAAATTCGATCCTTCTATGCAGATAGATAGGAGTGGACTTGGCTCGAACCATTAAATAAATATTCGGTCGTGAGGTCGACCAACATATTTATTTTATACATTCATATTAGGCCTTCAAGGCTTTCAATCAAGAAAATTCACAAACAAACACATAAAGCTTACGAAATCCGATCCTTTCTCGACAGCTCGACAAAGTCGACAAGGTTCATCTACAAAATGCAACTATTTTAAAATGAAATTGGCCTCTTGCCCCGATGATGGCCATGTTAAATGCAGATCTCAATCAGAGGTGTTAATTCTAAATATTTCAAAATGCTATCTTAAATACCTGAAAGTCCAAAATCCAAAATCCCAAAATTCCAAATTCAAATATTTAAAATTTAAATTCAACCGTCAAGCCACTTAAAGTAAAACTCATCCATCCTTCGCAACAATTTGCCGGGGTGGACAAATTAAAATTTACTTCAGCTCATATAGAGCCAAATGCCTAGTCGAAAATATCACTAGGATCCATTCTCAAATAATCTCATGCCAATAAAGATATGGTATGTATCCTCTGACCAGCGATTTTGCCGCCAAATGACGCCACAGGATAAACGGTTATGACCTGGGGCCCTCTAAACCGAGTGGTCTTGCCGCCAAATGGCACCATAGATATCAGTTATGGCCAGAGCCAATACATTATTTAGTAGCATCAAATTCTTTATATATTAATCAATAGGATATGATCGATAGGACACAAAGCCCTCTGTTAGCTAAGGTGCATTCAAATTTATCCCCTTAGACAAATATTTACCCCAAGTCTACAAGGTACCTTTCGATGAAGTAACCCATGACTGTCGACAAGGATCCTTTTGTCAGGTTGGGTCGACTACCTCCTCTGACTAAGTAGACCAGGGACCACGATGGCCCGGGACGACAAAACCATGGGATCTTGATCAGGTCCATCTTCCATTCCCCCACCATCCGCTTTAAGTGCAAAATGATGAAATTTCCAATTTTAAATATCTACTCTTCAACTTTTCAGATATCCAAAGCCCATGCTGTTACTATATGCCATATAACACATGTTTCTACGTATGTGACGACTAGCCTTAATTGAAAATTCTCTCTCGTGATCGGGAAGGGTAATTAACTATAGGGGCTTGCGCCTATAGGAAACCAGAACTCAGATCATAAAGTCCTCGCAAAATGAGGGCGAAATCTCTGGGTAGTGTCTTATCTACAAATTCATCGGCCTTCCAAAATTTACTCCGGAACTTAATTCCGTTAAAACTCCCCCCCCACCCACGATGAAAAAAGCACAATGGGCGGAGGCCAGGGTTGAATTTTCGGAGCCCACTATGATTTGTTTCCAATCTATGGAATTTTCTTTGACTAACCATAGATGCTGGTTTGGGTGTTAGATGAATGGTTCAAGATGTACTAGTAAAAAGGGTGGATAAAATTGATGTTAAAAATTTAGGGGGAAAAAAAAAAGTAGATTGAACTTTCATGGATAGAAGTTGTAAGGAATAATTTTTGCAAAATAAGTTTATACATCTCATGCAACACTCAAGAAAGATCAATACGAATGAGGATTCATAAAATCTTCCTAAAATTGTTGGGATAAGCTAATCCCACGTAGTTCAGATAAGGCTCATTATTATGAAAATCATGTTGTTCTTACTTCATTTGATCTAGGCCTAACTCAAAATTAAACTGACCAAAAAATTTGGCCCGTGGCTCAGCTTGTTTGGCTAGATCAAAAGCGAAAAATCTACTCAATCATCATAAGATCTTTGATCTTCAAGCTTAACTCTCTACCCATATTATAATGTTCTGTTATTAAAATAGGATGACTCAGGATTAGATATTTTAATGCAGCTCATATGATGTGTAGTATACTTGTATGCAAAACAAAGTAGATGATGCAATAATCTCAAGCTACCAATTATACCAACTTCTTTTGTTTTGAATGAAAATAGCGATAGCAGATTTTAAGCCAATTGATAATGAAATAATCGTAAATGTCTAAAGTAAGAATTTGAAAACAAATAAAATAAGTGAGAAAATTGATTAATTTTTATAACATCAAATTTTTGATATATCATTTTTTGATCAAAATCAAGAACATCAAATTAGTCAATAATAAATTATGTAATTTAGACAGACAAGGGATGAAATTACCTAAGCAGAGAAAACAAAAGGCCTCATGCTAGTACAAGGAGAGCTTTTTCTCAGAACGCTGGATGGAATCACTCAATTAACTTGCTTTCACGAGATTAAAAACTAAAAGAAAATTATATTTCATCATAAAGTAATCTATTTATGGACATTTACCTACACTATATTTCTTTAATTAGTAGATGCAGTAATGACCGGTTCATGTGTCAATCCTTTAAATCTGGGATTCTCGGACCTTCCAGCAGCTACCATAGCCGTAAATGTAATTTTGGTTCCTTGAGGAATCTGAAACAACAGGCAAGGCTATATAGGCTTGAAGCAGGTTTATAGGTGGGAAAAAGGAACAAGTGAAGCAGCCTTTAGCGGAAACTATAAAAAGTTAATCTGAAATTCCCTGAACTATCCAAAACAGAAATCAGCAGCAATCCAATTTATATCATTTGGTTAATTTCCACCAACAGCCCTTTAGAGGTATCAACAGACTAATCTCAGTAGAAAGCCTTATTTAGTATAAACTTTATCTTTCTCTAACTAATTGATTCTATGCTATTATTATGAGGGCATGGCATGACCTGGTTGTTATTTCTCTGGCTGAAGCTACAATTAGATTGTTTCATAGTAACTGGTTAGCAATTGCAAATTTTTGTCCTTGATTTAATTTGCTCCCTTTGCAGAAGCCTTATTTAGTAATTCTTTTTCAATATTAGTTTTGCACTTGGGCCATATGTAGTTATATTGCAATTTGTATTTAGTATTATTTCATTTTGTAGTGTGAAATGTTGCAGTCTAGCTCCTTTTGTCATTAAATTTTCATAAAAATACTACTTTCTTCAGCATTGTTTTGATCTCAATGCATTTCCTCGATCAGTTAAGGAAGGAAGGTAGGAGGAACGAGTATGAACGACATAAACTTCAAGCTATGAATCAGAGACAGAAAATGGTATACAAAAAATGTCCCATTTGAGAAATTCATTTGATATATTTTTTTTACATGCAAGTAAATTGATCTTTTCACTGATCTATTAAGTGCCTGAAAATATAATCAATTTTTTTACCTTTCTTTTTCAGGTTCTTCAGAGAAAGACAGAAGAGGCTGCCATTGCCACCAAAAAGTTGAAAGAATTGCTAGAAGCTCGGAAATCATCAGCGAAAGATAATTCTGGTTTGCTTAATAACTTAATTCCTTCTATTTCCCACAGTTATGAAGGTATTGCTATTAACTGTTTATTATTGTAAATAATTTTTATGTTCCAGTTATGTCAAATGGGAGTTCACCAGGCAGTCAGGTAACCGCTGTTGGTTTCTATTTGCAACCTTTTAAGTACTTAAAAATTAATTATGAACCAGTGTACACATCCTAAATATTTCTGCTACTACAGATGAATGAGAAGTCTTTTCAACGATGGTTAGATCATGAGCTTGAGGTCATGGTGAATGTACATGAAGTTCGCATTGAGTATGAGAAGCAAAGCCAAGTGTATGTTAAATTAATCAAGAATATTTCTCTGCAAACTGGTTCAAGAGAAACACTTTGCATCCTTTCTGATTGAGTTATTTTCCTTCAGACGAGCTGCCCTTGCAGAAGAGATTACTATGTTCAAACAAGAAGCATTTTCTGGGGAGCTTAGTCCTCCAAAAGGAAAGAATGGACACTCTCGGTAAAGATTATCTCATTCTTCAATTGTCAATTTCACCTTTTAGAAATTGAATGAGAAATTCTTTTTTGTTGTGACTTCTAACTGAAAGGTATTTTTTTTCCGACACTTGTATTTTATTTCCTACCAGAGTATCAAATATGTCACCAAACGCAAGATTAGCAATGCTAGCATCACTTGAGAACATGGTGAGCATGTCATCAAATGCTCTAGTAGCAATGGCTTCTCAGCTTTCAGAGGCTGAGGAAAGAGAGCGAGCATTTACTAGTCGTGGCCGGTGGAATCAGTTGCGATCAATGGGAGAAGCTAAGAATTTGCTTCAATATATGTTTAATGTTGCTGCGGATGCAAGGTATTGGCTCAAAATATTTTATCTTATTTGAATTTCCCATCTCCCATTTGAAAGCAGAAGAGACCGCCGTGGGGCTACCCATATTTCCCTCATTCATACTCGAATTACTATTTCTAAAAATAAAATACATTCAGGAAAATAATTATTTATTTATTTTTGTTGATTAAGACTTGTATTCGATCATAAACCAGATAGTAGTATTTTAGATGTCATGGGTGTATCATCTTTGTTTTATTTGTTTTTGTGAAATAATTATTTGTATGGAAAGGCATATTTTGAATCAAATGATTTCTCTAGCTGCTTAATGACTAAATGTTTCCAATTAGCAGCGTATTTAGTATAGTGAGTCAGCTGAGCTTGATTAGAATGTCCCGTTTAGCTCTATGTGAGTACAGATAAGTTAGCCTTATAAGTTAACCACAAATGCAAGTTGGAACTCCTAGTATTCCCATTTCTATTATACTTGATGATCCTCATCAAAAGCTGATCTTCCTTTTCTTTCAACTCTGATTACAAAATGGTTTATGAAAACTTTTAATAATATGGCTTGTAGTTTGTAATGACCAAAAGCAAGCTAATGGCAGTAATTTAACCGACCAGATGCCAACTGAGAGACAAGGAAATAGAGATGAAGGAGCTGAAGGAGGAACTGAATGAGCTTGTTGGAATTCTCCGACAGAGTGAATCTCGGCGGAAGGAACTGGAAAAACAGCTAAAATTGAAAGAGCAAACTGTTTCCTTGGAAATGGCAAACACACCTTTGGTAAGATTATACATTTAATATTAATGTCATTAGATCAAACGTTCTATAAAGTTCAATTTATTGACTTAGATGGCTGAATGCTACCATGATTTGACATTAAGATTTATGTTTTGAGTGTTTATTCCATGCTGTAATCCTTATATATGACGTATGACAGGCCTCCCATTGTAATGTAGTTTAATTCAAATCGAAAGTAATATCTATTAAGCTTGGACATGAGCTTTGTGTAGGCAGCTGTATGCTTTGTGCTAGTCTCAACATTTGCCTGTCGAGCAAAAAAGAAAAAAATACGCCTTTAGATGAAACATAGCAGTTGAGCCAACATTTTTTTTTCTTCTCTGATTTTCTCAAATAATGCATCTCAAGCTTTCATTCGTAGTTGAATAAATAGAACTTTTTGTAATTTTAATTAGAACTTTTGGCCACAGGATTGTAGCTTATTTCTTTTGAATAAATCTAGTTGCTGAATATAAGTTTTAGATTGTAGCTATTCATTACTGACTGCTTGGAGAGTAGCTTCTGGCATGCTTCAAATTGTGAATGTGATAAGGAACATGTATTCAAAGCACTTGAAAATATGTTTCTGTAAAAGCTTAAACTGGCCGATTAAATATTCAGCTTATTCAGTTATATACTTCATTGTGTCTGATCTGGCCTTCTCTTCTCCATCATCTCCCATTTGCCCTCAACTTAATTTTTTGGGGGATTCTTTCCTCCTATTACTTGGTCTAGTAACTATATCTAGCAGTCAAGGTAAGTTCTTTTTCAATGATTTGAGATATAACCAAAATTGAAGCGAAACTTGTTCTCATTCCCTTCAGGAACACAAATATTGCTTAATCTTATACTTGACCAAGTATAACTCCTCTAGAATCCTTGTAAGAATGTATCTGGTGCTCTTAAAATCATCCATTTTGAACCTTATTTTTCTCTTATTTAACATTTCTCCAAGTAACCTGTGGAATTCCTTTCTTCAGTCCAACTCAAATGGTTCGTTGAAACACTCAGCCGATGAAACGAACACACCAGCTTCTCCAATACCTGCTCCAGCACAGAAGCAGCTCAAATACACACCTGGCATTGCCAATGGCCGAGGAAGAGAAACTGCAACCTTCAGTAACCAACCCTTAAAGGTTCAACTTATCTCCTTTAGTCATTGTTCTTTTTTTCCTGCAGTTATGTCAGCCAATTTTGCGCTAAGAGTTTTCCAACGGCATCATCCTTGATATCATTGTTTGTAGATGGTACCTCTAGGGCAGGCATCCATAGGCAAGAAGATAGCTGTAGCAAGCCAAGTAGGAAAACTATGGAGATGGAAAAGGAGCCACCATAGGTGGCTAATACAGTTCAAATGGAAGTGGCAGAAGCCATGGAGGTTGTCTGAATTGATAAGGCATAGTGATGAGACAATCGTTAGAACAAAGCCCAGAATTCTACCTGTTCGAGACACATCATCTCTTCGATGCACATCCATCATCAATACCTGAACCCTAACTATTTTTATAGGGTTTTATAGCAGATTTATAAACATAAAAGAGCTCTAACTGCATCAAGCTCTTCAAGCTCTCACGACATGCTGATATCTCTTGTACATATGATGGTGGCACCTTCATATTTCAGTTGGTGCAGAGTGAGAAAATTTTTTCCTTATACACAGATTTTCATGGAATTTGCATTCCTTTGCTTGGTGTTGTCATATTGGATTTATGCATCGAAAGGATCATTGTAAAGTGTTTATAAGATCTGTGTTCTGTACTTAAAACTATAACTATGGGATCTCTACCAGAATGATGTCCTGCTATTATGCTTTCATGCTTGGGGTAAAAATTCCTTGTAGAAGAAAAAAGAGGAAAGTTCATCATGTTTATTTTGTCTTTCATAGATGGAGAATTTCATGTTCATAATGTATTGAGGTGTTGTTATTACTTTGTATTAATTACATAATGGATTTGTGTGTGTTTTTGTATTAATTAAGTTGTTCAGATCATAGTCTCTTTTTTTCCCCTTCTGAATGTATTGAATAGCTTTCAGTTATTTTATTTGTGAACCCTGAAAAAAGAGGCAGCACCACAAAATGAACCTTTCCTTATGTTATTTTTATTAAAAATTACAATTAAGATCCTGAGATTGAATTCTGATTATTTTTAAATTTATATTTGGATTCTCAATTTTTATATTTATAAGTGAAACATTTTTAAGTAATATTGAAATGTTTTCTGTTAATGGAATCATCATTTTCTTTTATTTTTTGTCAATTTTTTTTTTCACATATTAAAACTCATAATAAAACATGAATAGATATTTTTTTTCTTCATTTTTTAATTAGTTAAATTTTAGTTTTATAAATTATTAAATGTTAATGGTTTTGAAGGCATTGTATGATTCTACCCTCTAGTAGTCTCACTCCATTTGATGGAGAATTATAGAACACCAAAATCGGTTTGAATTAAAAGAACTGAAAGAAAGTAAAAATTTTATGGTAAAGAAAACCAAGATGGACAAGTGTGATATTATTAGACTTAATTCCATAGCAGTTGGAAAATCATTCAAGCTAATATCAGTGCCTTTTTACCCTTTTGAACTAGATGGAAATTCTAGCTGATAGTTGGGTTGTGCATTGATTGGATGAAATCAGAAAGTCAAAATGCTAATGTTTGATTCAAATTAAAATAATAAGCTTTATTATGTTGTATAAAACTTTATCTATTTTAGTTAATTGATTTTGTGGATTGTTGGATTGTCTCTTCTCTTTTTTTTTTTTATCATTTAAGCGAATCATGTTAGTAAAACTGAAGTTAAATAGGCTTCAATGAAAATAAAGTTTGGAAAAACTGTAGTACTAATGATATTTCAATAAATGCGTAGGAGATTTAGGAATTTCTTGACCTCTCTGTTTTTTTTTTTTTTTTTTTTTGAGAGAGTTTTAAAAGAATTAATTTTCCAGGACAAACTTGCAAGGACTTCATGATTTGAGTTTGCGTATCCAATAGACGTAAACCCCTATAGTTATTACCCATCCTGGTGATGAGGGAGTTGTTGCAACTTGTGCTCCCGAGTTTATGATTTTGATGATAACAAACATTAATGATTGCCTCTTTATTTTTCCCAGTATTTATAATGTATATTTGTTTGTGTATGTACTAACATTTCAGGTACATCATGCACCATTCAATGAAGATTCATGATACAAGATTTGATAGAATATGGTAGTCTAGTGAGCACACACATACAAGGGGAGTGGAAATAATTTTAAATATTTTATTTTTTTTGTACATCGTACTGTATGATACAGATCATACTATATGAGTTGTTACAGAAATTAATTAAAATATTTTATTTATTTAAAATAATAAAAAATGTCATAAAAATATTTAATCAATTGAGTAATCACATTAAATGGATCGAGTTAAACAATGTGATTCAACTTGTCATTACTGATACACACTAAGTAATAAATAACATAATACATAACTTAAAATTTAAAATAAAAATTGAGGGATTGTGATTGTTGCAATTACCCTTATGGTATGTGATTAAATACGCCTCATTCATATGGAACATTTTTGTCCAAAAATGCTTTCATCCATTATATTAAAGAATGGGTACAAGCTTGCTTGCAAGCAAAGGTCAAATAGTTGATGTACAACACTCAATAATCATCTACAAGCAATAATGGTGGATATGTTACAAGTGTGATAGGTTTGTGGACCTTCGAAAGGGATCCTCTATGCGGGAGATAGAGTGTAGAGGGTATACGACCGCACCATCCTGAGGGACGAGATGATTGTAGGCCCTCGTGCTCTTCGCAAGTGGGCCAATAGAAGGGCAGATTAGATCTCACATATGATTAGCCATTGAGGATAGCAGCTCTCGCTAGCGCACCCCAATGGGTAATAATATACACGACCTAATCAGAATAATGGATTTCCCCCACCCAATATATCAGCTCGAGTGGCTTTTATTTGATGGTAGAATTCGGTTTACCGCGGGCGTAAGCCCCTGTGGTTAATTAAATCTCAAACTAGGGTTTGAGAAGACTCTTAATTAAGGATCCTACATTATTCTTTCCAAATTGGAAAAGGCATATAGTGAATACTAAGAAGTCCTAAGAAGGGTTCAAAGTGGGATTAGTCAGTATACACGACTCACACTAACACCCGGAGGGACTAGGGTAGTAAGAAGAAAGTAGAGAAAATAAAAGTCGAGCACTCAAAACATACATGAGAGAAAGATGGACATGACACCATCCATGTGACACGAATAGGCAAGATTTATAGCCTCTGAAGAAAATGGAGCTAACCCACTGATGAGGTGTACTACGAGACACCAAATGTAGTAGCCTTAAACCCTAGATCTAAAATGGGTTTAGTGTTCTACATAACACTAACACCCGTGTCCTAGCTAATGCAATCTTGGCTTATAACCTGCCTGAAAAAGAAAGCCATCTAACCACCTAAGCGTATAAAATTCATGCTATACAGTCTTTATAAAAGATGGGTGGGAGGCTTAGTTTTTGAAAAGTAAGCTCAACATCTATAGAGTTTTCTAATTGGCCTTGGACTTATGTAGGATGAATGCTCCTAGAGTTAATGCAATTAAATATTTATTTTTATTAGTTTTAATGCAATGCATGCTGTTTGAAAGGCTTTAAATCAGAAATGCATGAACTTTAAAAAGGCTTAAAAAATATTTTTTTTTAGAAAGACTAGACTTCCCCAAATCTAGCACCTCATTCTAATAGGTTGGATTATCTGAACTCTACCCGTAGCTGGGAAAGTATCTTAAAGGAGGGAGAGAATGTATTAATATACTTGTGACCCCGGACGATTCAAACTATTCACTAGATCGTTAGATTTCTATATTTTTTAATTCCTAAAACATTAAATTTTTAGTTATGATTATAAAAGATTTTTAATCCTTAGAGAGCCTAGCAAAATTAAGCTACACACATGCAAAAAAGAAATCTAGAAAAAATTGGCAAGCTCTTCTGCACAATTAATATAAAAAATCAATACAAATAAAATCAAGCAGAGTAAAAAAAGTCAAGTTCATGGTAAGTGCCATATAAGTACAACCCAAAGTCAGCAGAAAAGTAATAGTGGATAGGCCCCACCGACAACAACCTGGATTCTAACAACACTGAATGACGCAAGTCTTAAAAGTAAGGCAATTTGTCTTTAATTCTTTATCTTCAGGTCTTCAGATCATCTTCCTCTAGATCGTCTTCCTTTGGTATTCTTATGGTTCATCCTTCAGAAGGGTATCCAAATTAATAAGAAATTCTCTATGAAGTGCCTTTCTTTTTTTTCTTTGGATACCTAGTATTTGAAATGCCCTACTTTTGAAAACTTTCACAACTCGATTCAAATTACAAATTACAAATTACATTGCATTTGAAAAAGAAAATCTATACTCTCCTGCATAGTTATCCTAAATAGTTAAATAAAAAAATATACCAATAAGTTAATATGCCATATCCCTAACATTTTATATTTGCTCAGAAGAATAAACACACTTGGCCATGCTTTTTTAATTTAAAGGAGGGCTTAGAAATTTCTAAAGCATCTACAGAAAACAGCTTTAGTTTTAAAGCTTAATTACTTTTGCCCTTGTTAATCAAAACCTTATATGAGCATGGCCACCTGTATAATAGTAAATTAGTACAAATCTTCCCTAGCCTAGGGGTAGGTATAATGCATAATTAATTACATCATATATAATGTGCAGTACAGTAATAAAATAAACACTCACAGTAAATAAAATCAACCAACATATGTGCCACATGCAGGAGCGCCACAACATAGAAGCATAAAAGTAAAACACCAGCCTAACCTAGAGCTAGAAGTTGTGCCATGGCAAACAATTTCATGTGTGTGTAATAGGATGTGTTGCTTTGGATAGGTCCTATGTGAGGTAGTTAGTTCAAATTGTTTCATATTCGGGTTGGTTGAAAGTCAAAAAGGGCATTTTGATTAAAGTTTAAATATTAATGTATTAGGATCTATTTTAGTTAATTAAACTGGTTGGTCAGTTTAAATGTTTAGATTAATGTTCTTTAAAGTTTAATTTGCATTAATGGATTTTTGAAGGTCCAGGGTCATCCTACTCGTTAAGCTAAGGGGGTCCAAAAGGTCATTTTTAGAAATAGGTGAGGTTTTAACGTTCTATCATTTTTAACGTTCTATAAGGCATAATTAGAATTTGAGTTTGCTAGATTTGGAGTTTTTTAGGAAAAGTTATAAATTTTAGAAGTTTCAGACCCTAGTTAATGAGCAACGATTGATCGGAGAGTTGACTTTTTAATTTAAGTTAGTTTATAGAAACCTAATATTTTTAATATTACTAGAGTTTAATTACTTTTATTTTTCTCAATTTGAAATTTTCTTGGAATTAGTTATAATTTTTCAAAATTTGAGCAATTAATGAATTATTAAAAATTGTTTTATTATGGGCATTTTAGGGGTTTTGATCCGAATCATATCCAAACTATTTGGAATCACTTCCAAAGGTCAGAAATGACCTAAAGAGATGTTACCAAGTGTTTGGGGGAAAATTTAGAATTTTTTAATAATTTTTAATTTTTTAATTTAATTAAAAGGGTAATTTTTAGTTAAAATTTAATTAAGATTTAGATTGAAGTCCAATTAAGATTTTTTTAATTTTATAAGATTAATTATTAAATTCTAAAAATTTTTATGTAGTATGGGTAATTTTTGGATTTAATTTTAATTTATTAGAATTTTTTGAGGTTATTGGGCCTTAATTAAGGGATGAATTAGGGTTTGTTAATTAAGGGTTCTAAAAGCTCCTAAAAAAATTCTTAGAAATTTTTTAGGTTTATGATGTCACTAAGTTAAAGTTTTTAAAGTTTTATGTCAATCGAGGATCTATCCTAGCTCATAGAATTTTTCTAAGTTCGTTAGACGGATCCTTAATTATTATTCTTAGGATGCCGCTACGTTAAGTAGATTTAAATCGATGT